TACAGAAAATAACCCTTGCAGCACTTAGAGCCCTGGCACAGACCTGGCTACAGCCGAGCGCCCCGCACGTCTCCGTAGTGATCCATAAAATAAAAAAAGGACACATGTCTCATGGATAGGTTGACTGCAATCACTAGGGGGTCTTTACAGAAACACAACAAGATGTGGGAACCGTGGCTAAATGCAGATATAGGAGGGTAAGGGAGTAGTGAACGAAACGCCACGGACAACACTTCTTCTGGCCAATAGAACCCCTGGGCACCCCTGCCTGGTGGACAACCGGACCCTTGGGTGCTTTCTCCAGCCGTGTACCACATGCCCGACAACGCAGGTTTAGGGGGAGTCTGCTCTCACCCGCGGTGCGGATCCCCGGCTGCCATCATGTGTAACCCATAAGTTAGGCTGCCATCACGTGTAACCCATAAGTTATGATTAACGTAATATGGCATTTGCATACGCATAAAAAGCCGTACAACTGCATAACTATCGAAAGTGAAACAAAAGAGGGAACAAAAGATATCTCATGACTCCTCAGGCATGTGCATGGAACTATGATGGAAAATTACGAGACGTGAACATGCACACTTACATGTACTATGGGTACAGCACTGCGAGAGTAAACAAATTTGCATATTATACCTGATTTTGCCAGCAATACATGTAAAAGTGAAATACCATAAAAAAGTCTATAGCTATAAGATCTCTAGGTCTGTCCACCTCCCGCTAGTGGTTCCCTAGACGGCTCCCCCTGACTCTCCCCCCTTCACTCCTTTCCGTTACTCGAGTTTATTCCCCATCTCTACTTTTCTTCTCTGGATTAACATAATCAACCTCTCAATGTAGAAAGGCAAGCGTAATGAACATAGGAAGTGAGAATAAATCTGTTGACAAACTATGTTTATCCTATGTGGGCCGCAATCTCTGACCACCAGTTCTTACTATCCATTTTCAAAATTGTTTGTTTCATTGTTTAATATTCTATCTTCTGCTTTAAAAAAAAAAAACCCAGACAGGCTACTTTTCATCATATGATTACAAATTTACTTTACGAACCTCAGTCATGCTCGCCAACAATATGTGTTATATTTAAAATCTCTACAGCTTTGTTTCTACTGGCCTTATGCTGATCAACAGGGCCAATGTGCATGTACAAATGAATGATTGTATGCAATATTGTACTGTTACCTCTGTGTTGTATATGAAAACCTGTCTTGAACTAAATAAAGAATTTATTAAAAAAATAGTATTTTCCTGCTCACCCATGGTCAAGCCATGGTAAACATGTTATAACTGAGATTTGAAACACAAATCAGGTTCAGGTTCAGGTTAAAAACTGCAAAAAATGCTAGCTAACCTTCCCAAAGATTAGGACACTGAAGGACATCCCTACAATGCGCAAGTACTATAAAAATGTGTAAGCATCTGTCTTATAAACATCTGAGTAGATGCTGTGGAATTGATAAATCTCTATGCACCCAGAGGTGCAGTCATTGCTATAGTTCATACAGTGGCTCTCTGTCATCAAACAGAGAAGAAAGCTCAAAATGTATTTCTCTAGAATAGGTGTACACTTTCTGATATAAACTTTAACACTGAATTTTGCCATGCTCAATAGTTACTAAGTCATGGCTAAGATCATTCAAACATGGATAAGAACCGTGGCATATGATGCAGTATATGCAGTATATTAATGCAAAATTGTAGCAATTATGCATTTATATATAATTATGTATACATTATGTGAAAATTGGTTAAATAATTAGGGTTTTCTGTGAAAACTAATGTTTATGATGATTCTTCCATATTTTTCATCAGCATTGTCCAAAAATTATTCTAATTTTGCTTTGATTAAAAAGTCTTATGTCATTTTTATTTTAGTTATTAAAAGGCATTTCAGATTTAAAACTTTCTACATCTTTTACCAAATCATGAGATACGATAATACAATATTTAAACTAGAAAGGCTTACACAAAAATTCACTTTAATCATATGCGGTGCACCTGAAATTAAAGGGACACTCTGGGCACCAATACAATTTTAATGCATATTATAGATTTTGTCCTCATTAATATGCAGTATTTTTTGCACGCTAAACTCTATAAAAATATCTGCTTATTTTTTACACAGAAACAAATATTTATTGTCAGAATGCTGCACAATAAGCCTGCGTCCACAGCCACACCCCCTCATGCCAGAAAGACTTCCTTATCAAAGGTATGGACCAACAGCACTGACGGAACTGCTTTTAATTATCATCCTCAGTCCGAGAAACTAGACACTGACAGTGATATCCTTACTGTATGTCTCCCTATGTATCCTGTCCATATAATGTAGGTTACTTTGTAGTTCAGATCATTCAGTACAATCAGTGGCTGAGCTGTGTACATACATTTGATAAGGAAGTGTTTATCTGCAGTGAGTAGTGGGTAAAGAGGCAGGCTTATGTTGCAGCATTCTGAGGTATCATTCAAATGATGACAAACACTAGACAAATTATGACAAAAGCTAGAATCAGTAGGATTAAAAATACATCAACCAAACCTTGTGCTGTGACAATTATGTAAGGTCTACAGTAGGAAGCAGACCTTATGGACACTTATAGGTTAATTTCTCACCAGTATCTCACCAGTTAATTTGCTCAGATATGAAGCATAGTCTGTAAAAATTAAAAATATTGTTATGTGTATATAGTTACAAATTAACATATCCTGAAAAAAATACTTTAGTCCATCAAGTTGTTTTTTTAACAAATCTGTATTACTACTTGTGATCTAAAAGAAGGCAAACACCCGATTTGTATTGATTTCCAATGTTGCCACAAAAAGAGTCTTCATGACACCAAAGTGACTAATTTTCCTTAGATCAACAAGCTCTTAATCCACATATTAACTTGTCTATTATTGTATAAACTATTTTACAACACTGCAGAATATGTAGGCACTTTTTAAATGCTAGCAATAATAATAACACTTATTTACTTTTCAGATTTAAGAGAATCACAGCGTGGGTGAGTTAATGGATTTTTTGAACTTTTGGACTCCTTACCACTGGGGTACTGTGGGAGGGATGACTTTATAGGGACAGGAACTTGGCAATACAGGATTTACTTATGAGAATGTGCGTGAGGGAGTTCCGCTTCTTATTAGAGTGAAAGGGATTTACACTTTGATGACTAGTGGAATGGGAATCCATTGGTCAGTGCATTATTAGGCAAGAATTCTTGAGAACTCTATGACCCAATAACCATAAACCACCACACCAATGGCTGGAGTATGGGAGATGGTAAAGGGGTCATCCACAGACCTTACCCAAGTTACAGTTATTTTCCATCTTCATGTACTCAGAGAAGAAGTAGGTTTTGTAGGTTTTGGTTGACTGCAAATGTCACTTTTTTAAAAAAAAAACGTTTAAGAAAATAAAGATGTGAGACAATCCTTTTTTGTAGTTACATTCTGGGATCTCATAGACCAGAGACCATATATATATATATATATATATATATATAATGGTTGAAAATAGAGTTGAGCGAACCCAGGTTCGTACCGAACATTACGTTTTTTGGACCCCGGACCCGAACACGGACTTATCAGTGTATGTTCGGGTTGTAGTTCAGCAATTTAATGGCGCGTTTTGAAAGGCTGCAGGGCAGCCAATCAACAAGGGTTTGACTTGTGTGCCCTTAGAAGCCACCACAGCCATGCTTACTAATGGCGTGGCTGTGATTGGCCAGTGCAGCATGTGACCCAGCCTCTATATATAAGCTGGAGTTGCGTAGCGCCGCACGCACATGAGCTCTTTTTAGTGTAGGGAGAGGATGCTGCAGCTGTGAGGGACAGATTAGGAAAGAATTCTGGTGTTGAATCTGCAAACTACAGCGATTATTTTTGTGGGTGCTATAATACGACATTTTTTGACCCTGCCCTGAACCCAGTGCCACAGAGAGTGCAGTGCACTTGCAACTGCATGTGTGCCAGGCACCTTACTTTAATCCTGTTCTTGTAGCTCAGTGGGCAACATCTAGGCATTTTTAAATACTGCAATTTTTTTGGTGCTAAATAGTACATTTGCGTACTGCATTTCTTGCAGTCCAATAAAACCCTTAAATACTACTGTTACATTGTTGGTTTAAAAAAATCTAACTTTTTGGTGCTAAATAGTAAGTTTGCAGCCTGCGGTGCACTTCATATCTGAGAGTCAAATAGAACTGTCAAATACTGTGCTTACATTGCAGTTTTAAAAATTCAATTTTTTTAGGTGCTAAAAAGTAAATTTGGGGCCTGCACTTCATATCTGAGAGTCAAATAGAGCCGTCAAATACTGTGGTTACAGCGCATTTTTAAACATTCAAATTCTTTAGGTGCTAAAAAGTAAATTTGGGGCATGCACTTCATATCTGAGAGTCAAATAGAACCGGCAGGGTTGAGGAGTGGGTGGAAGATGATGTGGAGGATGATGAGGTCCTAGACTCCACATGGAATAAAGGTCATGCGAGTGACGTGTGCAGTTTGGAGGGAGAGGTAGTGACTGCACAGAGGCACCAGCACAGCATAAGAGGGAGCAGGGTACAAAAGCGGAGTGGCCGTCCCCTAGCGCTCATCGGCATGTATTATCTCTAGAATTACCACAGTTATCCAAGTAACAGATGGAGCGATAAAAGGAACCATAACTAATTTAATGAGCCATTCGCAGTTTCACTATAGTGGCTGTGTGCGCTTTCGGCGTTCTCACCCTGCTACTGCTTGCCTGTCTGCGCTGCAGCATAACTTCGGCCTTCCCGCTCACCGCCTCGTATGCAACGTGCCCACAAGGGGAACTCCACCTTGCACATGCTGGAGAGACTGTGCGAGCAGCAGCAGGCAATAGCGGAGTTTCAGCTGCAGCACACACAGGTCAGTCCCTCTGCACCAGACTTGCCCACCAATAGATCCTCTTTAAAGAATTTAAAGTGGACTCATTCCAATTACAAGGCCTGGAAAGAGTCATGTATTGTTCTTTATCGTCACTACCTCCCCGCGTCAGGAGTGGGTAATTTGAGCGCGTGTTGCCTTCTTTGGATGTGGTGGCCATTTCCAAGGCTCCCTCTCCAGAATCGAACCCTGATTCTACGTTGGTCACCATGGTAGGCGCAGATATTAACATCGAAAGTTGATAGGGAAGACATCTGAACTTCCTACTCCACATCCACCTCCTCCTAGAGCAGGGTGCAAAAGCAGAGCAGCCATCCCCTAGACAGTATGCCTGTGCTACTGCCCACCACACCCAGGGACTGAGCACACCAAAGCCAGCTCAAAGGAGTTCCCTGGCGTGGCAGTTCGAACGTGGAGACCCCAGTCGATTCCTGTGGCACCTCCCAATAGGCAAACAGGAGATAGGGCAGGAATCTCTCTCAATCCTTGTGAGTCGCTGCAAAGGTACGGAGCATTTGCTTCAATGTACCATTGAAGCGCTCACACAGGCCATTGGTCTGGGGGTGGTAAGGGGAGCTCAGGATTGATTTAATGTGCACAATCTCCACAGTTGGTGGGTTATTTCATCAGTAAACTGGGTGCCCTGGTCTGAGAGACTCTCCTGGGGAAAACCCATACGGGAGAACACTCGCCTCAAGGCTTCAGCCACAGTCTCTGCCCGAATACTGCTCAGGGTACCGAGTCGCGTAGTCTACGATGGTCAGAATGTACTTCTTCCCAGAGGGACTAGGCTTGGCTAGGGGACCTATAATGTCGACAGCTACTCTGCCGAATGGATCTTCACTAATAGGTAGGGGATAGAGGAGGGCCCTGTGCTGGTCCCTTCTCTTCCCCACTCTCTGGCAGACATCTGGCAGTACTGAGAGATGCATGGCCAGAAGAAGCTTTGGGCGAGCCAAGACGCTGTCAAATGCCCTGCTTCACCAGCTCATACCAATACTTCTTGGGTCTGGGGCTGGAGGTCTCTCACCAGCCGTGTCGTTGTGGAGCCCATTGAAAAAGTGCTCTAGCATGATGAGCTGGGTGATCTCCTCCGGGAACTTGGCTTGATGGGAGTTGAGCCAGTTCTGGGTGGCCCTTGTGATGTGGCATGCCCATTCCGCATGGGAGTCGTTCTCCCCTTTCCGGGTCTCCCTAAACTTTCTTCGGTATTGCTCGGGGGTGACCACATACCGGGCCAGGAGGATTTGTGTAATAAAGGGATTGTCTCTGATACAGCCCAGTAAATATCTGCTGCCTTCTCCACTAGTTTGCTGGCCAGTATGGTGACCCAGTCGCTGGGGACCACATCTTGGAGTAGGCACTGGCACTCAAAGTCATTGATGCCTTCTTCTGCATCCTTGAACCCTTGTGGGCCAGGGTGGTTGTGCTTCCCAGTGCCCTCTGCTCCCTTCTTCCTTCATCTGGGTTCATGGAGGTCGCCCTCTGTTTATTGGCAAGGACATAGGCTTGCACCTCCAAAAAGGTCCTGCTGACGATCTCCTCTGAGAGTGGCTCTCGGTAATATGCCAGGCGCCGGTCCACCTCATTGCACACTTCCTCTTCATCTCCGGCCCCTGGCTGGGGTTCGTTGCCTCACTGCATGCCTGGTCGTCCTCCATAAGTGCAGCAGTCAATTTGGCCTTGTTACGCCCACCAGGCGTTATTTCTCTGGCTCTACACAAGTCCTGCAGTGTAGGTCGCTTTAGAGCACTGTAGTTCATGGGTCTGTTGGCAGGGACACGGGATCCTGCCAATTGCCACCAATTGAAGCGGGACCTGGGTAACCGATGGTTATCCCCTTTGATTAGAATAGGTCAGACTCATTTCCCCAGTAACCGGATGAGACACAGTTCCAGGATACAACGTTTGACAATCTTCATTTGGGTACACAGCTTTGCCTCCTGTTTCCTCCTCCTCCTACTCTGCTTCCTCCTCCTTTACCACCTCCTCATCCGGTCAGCGTAACACCTTTACCACCAACTTCAGCACAGCCAGGGGGGAAACGACAGCAGGCTGTGGAGCTCTGGACAGGCATGGAACAACAGACCGATGAGTGGTTGTTGTCCCTGAGCCTCAAGCCCGGCCTGGTGGTGTGCGATAATGGGCGAAATCTCGTAGCAGCTCTGGGCCTAGCCGGTTTGATGCACATCCCTTGCCTGGCGCATGTGCTGAATTTAGTGGTGCAGAAATTCCTGAAAAACTACACAGATATATCAGAGCTGCTGCAGAAAGTGTGGGCCATCTGTGTGCACTTTCGGCGTTCTCACCCTGCTGCTGCTCGCCTGTCTGTGCTGCAGCGTAACTTCGGCCTTCCCGCTCACTGCCTCATATGCGACGTGCCCATAAGGTGGAACTCTACCTTGCACATGCTGGAGAGACTGTACGAGCAGCAGCAGGCGATAGTGGATTTTCAGCTGCAGCACGCATGGGTCAGTCGCTCTGCGGAACAGCACCACTTCACCACCAATGAGTGGGCCTCCAAGCGAGACCTGTGTGCCATTTTGCACTGTTTCAAGTACTCCACCAACATGGCCAGTGCCGATGACGCTGTTCTCAGCCTTACTGTCCCGCTTCTATGTCTCCTTTTAAAAAACACTTTGGGCGATGATGGAAGAGGATGTGGCACAGGAGGAAGAGGAGGAGGAAGAGAGGTAATTTCCACGGTTATCAGGCCAGTCATTCACAAGTGGCTCAGAGGGTGGGTTCCTACACCAGCATAGGCCAGGTACACAATTGTCCGGCATCTCCACACTGTCCCATGGAAGCGTTCAGCTGTCCATCCCTGGCCCTGAATGCCAGCATTTCAAAATTCCTGGCCTTTGAAATGCTGTCATTCCATCTGGTGGAGACAGACAGTTTTAAAAACCTGATGGTGTTATTGGACTGCAAGAAATGCACCACAGGCTGCTAATGTTTCTTTTTTTTATATGTCCCAATATTTTGGGGGCTACCCCAATTAAAAAAAAACAAAAAAAACAATGTTAGCTACCTCCTCCGCCTCCACCGCCGCTTCCACCTACACTGCCACAGTCACCGCCTCCTCAACCTCCTACTCCACATCCACCTCCTCCTCCTAGAGCATGGTGCAAAAGCGGTGCAGCCATCCCCTAGATAGTACACCTGCTACTGCCCACCGCACCCAGGGACCGAGCACACCAAAGCCAGTTTCAAGTAATTGCAGCTGGGGCACCACCAGCACCTCAGAAAGCAGGGTTAGCATGGCCGAAATGTGGAAATACTTTGTCAGCACGCCACAACAACCAGCACCACCAGCTGATATGTAATGTCTTAGCAGGAGGCAGCATTTCAGCAACATGGTAAACAGTACGTGTGCACACGCCTACACGTACTGACTGATGGGTCTGCCCCATTCAACTTCTGGTTCTCCAAATTTGGCACATGGCCTGAGCTTGCCCTTTATGCCTTGGAGGTGCTGGCCTGCCCTGCAGCCAGTGTATTGTCTGAACATGTGTTTAGCATGGCAGGGGGCGTTATCACAGACAAACGCAGCCGCCTGTCTACAGCCAACGTGGACAAGCTCATGTTTATTAAAATGAACCAGGCATGGATCCCACCAGACTTGTCTGTACCTTGTGCAGAATAGACATTTATACTGGCCTCACCCAGCGATTGTTATACTCAAGTGCACTTATTCTTTGTTTTCTTTTATTATATGTCCCAATATTTTGGGGGCTACCCCAATTAAAAAAAAAAAAAAAAAGACAGTGTTGGCTACCTCCTCCTACTCCACTGCCGCTTCCACCTACACCGCCACGGTCACCGCCTCCTCAACCTTGTACTCCACATCTACCTCCTCCTCCTAGTTCAAGATTATTATTTTTAATTTTTAGGTATTTTATTTTTTTAAAAGTTATTTCCTTATCCACATTTGTTTGCAGAGCACATGTCCTACTCTTACTCCCACTTTACTTCCCTTTGCAGCCCTCTAGCCCTTTCCAGGACTTTTTAGAGGCATTTTAGTGCCCAAAAGTTCGGGTCCCCATTGACTTGAACTTTTTGCAGATTTTCGGCCAAACCCGGCGAACCCGAACATCCAGGTGTCTGTTCATCTCTCGTCTCTGCCTCTCAAACACTAACATACAATTCTTAGCATAAAACTGAAAATGTTAACACAATACACTAATCTTAGACAAACTAAGGAAGAAAAATAAGTGAACCAGTATAGCATCTGCCACACTGCTGCAGGTCTTTGAGCCACAATTGGGGCTTTAGACAAATAGCTTAGTATATAAAAATTCAAGATTTAAGATGCACCCAAACTTAATAACTATAGCAATTGGCTTAGGCAGAAAGGTAAGAGCCACCTATCATACCTGCATTAGAATTCTCTCATACTTTGATCGAAAAAAACCAAAATGATGTACACACATTATATTAAAAATTGTGTTAGTAACAAGTTTGTTTTTGTTAACCTTACTTTATTGCTTTTATATGTACAAGTACATGAACATTCTTATTTTTTAAATAAACAATATTTGATGGATCAACTAAGTACAATGAAAACATTTGTTATTAGGATAATTGTTCTATAATTATTTTAGAAGTAAGTCATAAATATAGATTTTTTAATGAGTCACACATGGTTAGAGACCCAAAAGTGTATAATACGGTACAATACAAAATGGATTGCAATGGATCCCATTGAATGGTATGTATGATAGCAGAGCCAAAGAGTACGATGCCTGAACTCCTCTGTGTAGTTGGGGCAAGAATTTATTGCACACAGCTCTATACATTTCTGTGGCTGTCTTCTTGGTCCCAGTGGTGTAATTTCTGAAGTCACAAAGGATTCCCTTCATCATACGGTTGGGGAACCCCAAATGCAATCACAAGCAGAACAATGTAATTGTCCCTGATCACTGAGAGTGATCATGGCTTCAGGGTTTAAATCATATCATGACAACTTGTCATTATTTGATTTAGCAGGAAAGAAGTAAATAACCCCTATAAAATAAGCAAGTAAATCCCACTGCAGACATCAGCAGAAGGAAACACTTTAACACTATTGCTAGTATTAGGATTAGGGTTAAATTTAGGATAAGGAGTTAGATTATGGTTAGGATTAGGGTTAGGTTTATGATTATAGTTAAATCTAGGGTTATGATTAAGGATTAGGACTAGAGTTATGATCAGTAATGGAAACCCTCTGCTAAAACCTGCAAGGGGATCTATCTATTTCTAGGGTTGGAGTTGGGATTGGGATTAGAATTAGGGTTGTGGTTGGGATAATGGAACAGGTGTATGGGTTATGGTTAGGCATAAG